CCAACAAAAATCACTCATTCATACCCACCCAACTCAACACTGTCTCATTCATACCCACCATAATCTCCACCAAAAACTTCTTTACTCATTATTACAATTTACAACCTTCTTTTATATAGTTTCATCATCATCATCATCATCATCATTTACCTTTTTTTAATGGATAAAGGGAAAAAATACCTACAAAGTAGTCAACCATGGGCACCTAATATCCTAAAGTGAGAAAAATGATAAAAAATACCCATAATGTTACATGAGTGGGTGCAAAAGTAACCAAACCATTAATTTTGACTTAATGTCATTAACTTTAATCTTTAAATGTTGACTGTACATGCCATATGTCAGTCTTTGCTAACGTAGACTAATAAAGGAGAAAAAATACCCACGAAGTCCTAGTCCAGAAGCAAAAATATCCATAACATTACTAGAATTAGTACAAAAGTAATCAATCTATCCAATCTTTTAAATGTTGACCGTTTAGCTGATATATAAGTAGAAATTGACTATTTTTTTTATTAATGTAGACAAAAATATTCTCAAATGAAAATTCTTTGAAGGTTAATCAATCATTATATGAATATCATGTGAGAAAATATTATTTTGATTAACTATCAAATTAAATTGCTTGTTTTTTTGTAGCAGTAGTGAAAACCATTTGAAATTTTTGAACATATCATGAATGCAATTGCTTAAGATTATGACAATATTTTTAAGCTAGTTGTTTTCAGTCTCAATTTTTAATTTTGTACAACCTATCTCACTATATTGAATCTTAGGTTTTGTAGACAAGAAAAATGAGTGGAGAGAGAGAGAAAGGAAGGGGGCAAGATATGAGGCGATGGAAAGAAACATGTGGCACTGATTTTAACGAATTAGTCACTATTACACCTACTAAAGTAACATTATTAATACTCATAAGATGATTAATCAACATCCGTAAAAATTCATATGGAAATATTTTTTGTCTATATCAACCAAAAAAAATCAACTTCTACTTAAGTATCAGTTAAACGGTCAACATTTAAAAGATTGAACGGATTAGTCACCTTTGCACAAACTTTGGTAATGTTATGGATATTTTTACTCCTGGCCTACAACTTCATGTGTATTTTTACTCCTAGCCAACGACTTTGTGAGTATTTTTGCCCTTTTATTAGTTAACATCAGTAAAATTGACACGTGGCATGCACGGTCAGCATTTAAACGTCAAAGTTAACGGCGTTAGGTCGAAGTTAATTGTCTAGTTACTTTTGCACCCACTCATGTAATGTTAAGGGTAATGTTAAGGGTAATTTTATCCTTTTTCTCACTTTAGAATAGTGTGTGTCTATGGCTCATCACTTTGTAGGTATTTTTGTCCCTTTATCCTTTTTTAATTCCTTCTTCGATCTCATATCCTAGGAAATTTGTAACAATATCAAGGGTTAATATGCAATTTGGATATTGAATTATAGGTCTATAGGTAATTTAAACCCTAAACTTTTAAAAATATGCATTTTGAATTCTAAATAAATGTCTGTCAAATTGAGACCTAAAGTGTAATTTTTTTAAATGAATTTGGCAGGTGTTTGTTGAAAGTTAATGGTAAGAGTGAAATTGCTCCAATTTTAATTATTTAGGGTTCAAAATATATTTTTTAAAGTTTACAGCTCAAATCGCCCTTGAACCTATAGTTCAAGGTTCAAATTGATATTTAACCCTTCTAAACATACTAGAATAATAGGGTAAACTAGAGTATGTAATGAAAATAAACGTATTCTATGATAAATGCTACCGTTTCAATTTGTAAGTTGTTTTATTATTAACTATGTAGTGATATGAATGATTGTTGTGATATTACCTTTTTTTTTTTTTTTTTTGAGGACTGAGGATGAAATATGCTTAGAATCTGGTGTACTACAATCTTAGAAAAAGATCAAAAGGGTAAGAGTTAAATTTTTGGGATCACAAAGTAAGGCTGTAGGATTAGGGGAGTTATTAACAACAAAAGAAATAATAGATAATTTTGAGAGATAGTGTGAATAGTTATTAAAAAAAAGTTTTCTATATTGATAATAATGTTAAATTTTGGGGGTAAAATTATTAAAAGAAAAGAAAAACTGTAACATTTTATATTTTAATCTCTAGGTAAAAATTAATTGTAAAAAATTTCAATGTGTAGGAAGGGAATTTTGATACATAAGAAATTATTGAACATTTATTGAAGATTAAGAATTTAGAAAGAGTAAAATAATTTGTTTTTTAAAAGAAAATTTATCTAAAATATAATAAATTATAAGAATCTATCTTTGAGCAATAATAATAATAACAACAATATAAGCAAGTGCATGAAAGATTGAAAATAAATAAATATATTTATTTATAATTTTAAATTATAATATAAAATACTCTCTTTATCCTAAATTATAAGACACTTTTAGACAAAATCTCACATACCAATAAACATCATTAAATACACTTAACAACTTTATCTTTTCCAAACAAAAATATAAACTTTTAAAAATATCCATCATTTAATATATTAAAAAGAAAAGAGATAAAAATTAATTATAGAGAAAGAAAGAAAAAAAAATATTTAATACGTGTGTATAAATAAATAAAAATAAAAAAAAAGAAAAAATATATAAATGTATATTGTTTGTGTATAAATAAATAAAAAGAAAAGGAAAGAAAAATATATAAATGTACGTGTGTGTCAGAACGCGTGTGTGTAAGAGCGCGCGCGCGTGTGTTGATAATATAGTGTGTGCAATTATAAAATGAAAATTAAAAAAAAAAAAAAAAAAAAGGCGGCCTTGGCTGTGGGCCCATGACCCACGCCCTTTTACCCATAAAATAATTGCCCAAGTCATCATGTACGCACGCACAACACATTTTTTCCCGCCGCCGACAACAAGAGAGCATGCGAGAGAGACAGAGCCAGGGCCGGGGGCGGTGAGGAAGGATAGAACTAGCATAATCATATACTGTCCCTGATTAAAAATATAAAATATTTTTAATTAAATTTTATTTTTTAATAAAATAATTACTTATTTTTTAATTATTTTTATCTTTTTATATTTATTTTATTAAATATTCTATAATAAATATAAAATTACTATCAATAGCTGCATTTAAAAAAAATAATGATTACGCTTTAAAAGATTAAAAATACCTTATATTTTTTAATATCTAACTCCTCAAAAAATACCTTATATTTTTTAATGGAGGGAGTATTTCAAGGCGCTTTGAAGATTTATAAAATGATGTAAGTGTTTTAAATTATGCATTTTATCAATCTATTTTTTTAGTTTTTAGTTTCAAGAAGATGAAAAATTTAGAAGGTGATGTATTTAGAAGTTTCGGGTCTTTTTGTTGATCAAAAGTTACTCTAAAATATTTGTAGATCTATTTTGAATTTTTAAAAAGTTTAATTTTTAGATATAAATTTTTTATAAGGTTTGATACTTAAAATAAATGTTTGAGATAAATAGAGACTTTAAATCATTCAAAAATTATTAAAGATAAATTATAACGAAACTAATCTATAAAAAAATGTACAAACTTCAAAGAATATTTTGAGTTTATAGTTGCTTTAAGGTAATTCTTTAGTAATTTTAAATTATATATTAATATTTTTATGTGTGGGTGTCTTTTTGTAGACTCTCATCGAAAGCTCTTACTACTTCAATTTGCTGTATGGCTACACGTAAGCTTAAAAAGAACAAGTAACTTGAGGTTTTTTTTGTGTGTGTGCTAGCTATATTTGTTGTGATAACTCATGTTCCTGTGTCTAATTGAGCACAGCACACACGCACGCATGCACACACACACCACTGCAACGAAGGTTAGTTTTTTTCAAAGTGGTATTTGAGTTATTCCTCACCGCACCAAAAAAATCTTTTAAAATTTTCCTAAACTTGAACCTCCAACTTCTGCCGCCTTAAAAAAATTGAGGATAAGTCTAGTATTATTAAGTCAATTGCTCTGACCTTAAGGAAGTTGAGGTTATTCCCTAAGATATAGATTGACTGGTTTACTCCATAATTGTTTTTAAAATAAATTTAAGAATTTATTTTAAATCTTTATATCATGGTAATTAATTTTTTGATTTAAATTTTTTTTACCATGGTATTTGGTTAGGTTTTAATTAGTAAAAAATTAGGATGTTGCAAAATTGATATATACATTAACATTAGAAATATAGGATTAGACAAATATGATTATAAAATATTCAAATTATTAGTCTAGAACAACTGTAATAGAATATGAGAAATTCTTGTAGCTATACATGACATTCGAATACCCCAATTTATCTAAATAAAATTTTATTTGATATTATTTTAATTAATTTTATTCTTATTATAAAATTTATATTTAATTTCGTGCCTTTTTTGACTCTATTATCATTAATATCAGAATCAATTTATATTTAATATTATCTTAATGTCATGTTTTTATTAAATAAATTACAAATGATATGACATGCCCAATTTATCAATAGGATATATAGATATGAGAAATATTTAAGTAGATTGGGTATACTACATCATTTGAAGTCTATTCAATAAAAATATTACATTTAGATGGTATTAAATCTAAATTAATTTAAATATTAATGATAATATAGAAAAAAGTAAAAAATTAAATGTGCATTATGTTATAAAAATAAAATTAATTTAAAATATTATATAATTTTTTTGAAATTATTTGAAATATTTTAATTACACAGATCGTAAATTTTAAGTATTTCTCATATAGATACAAGCAAGCAGCCCCGTACCACGAGGGCAATGCGACAGATTGAAGCAACATGTTCAAACCGCCATAGCTGACCAAAACCACCGACCCCACGAAACCTTAAATGCTAAAACAAACCTTGACCTTATAAGAGTCAATCCCTCCCCCTTTTTTTCTCAACGTCGACATTTCCATCTATATACATCCTTTTCTTGCTCTCTCCTTTCTCTGCAACAACCCTCTCTCTCTCTCCCCCCACTGAGAAATCGATCTAACTGAAGTTTCAGATCAGTACCCTAATTTCTGGTATGGGAAATGCAGTTTTGACACCTTGTTTTGTGCAGCAAAACCCTACTTCATCGTCGTCTTCTTCAATAAAACTTGTCTTCTGCGAAGGCACGACGAGGTTCCTGACGGGAAAACACGTCGCTAGCGAGATCATGTTCGAGTTCCCGGACAAGATGGTATGCCACGCTGACTCCTTCTTCATGGGCCTCCCGGTGCCGTCGTTAGCCATAGACGACGAGCTCATGCCAGGCCAAACCTATTTCATTCTTCCCATAGATCGTTCAGCATGCAAGGCCCTCTCGCCGGCATGGCTCGCAGTCCTAGGTTCATCATCAACTTGCCCTAATAAAACCAGTAAGCCGTCGTCGTCGTCACCATGTCCGATCAAGTTTGGAGAGAACCCTAGTCCTTTTGAGTACATAAAGGGCTCCAATGGGAGGGTTCTGATAAAGGTGAAGCCTGAGTTCATCACGAGGCTTATTAATGGAAATAATGACAAAGAAACAGATCGTAATGGTGATATTAACTATAGCTTTCTGTGTAGTACTCCCGAGTTGAAGAAGCACTATGATCAGCTTGTGAGGTCTAAGGATCAGCATTGGTCACCCAAGCTTGAGACCATTTCGGAGTACAAGGTTAGGTTTTCGCCATGCAGGTTCTTGGGCTTAGAATGGAAAGAAAAAGAGAAAAATGTATATGAATCGATTTCAGAACAGAGATCTATAGATGATGATATATAATTTTTTTTGGGAAGAATTGTACACTGATAGATCAAAAGATCTTGTCTCACACACACACACACACACACACACACACACAGATATAGATATGAAGTGTTATTCATAAGTTCTGGGATCAATGATCGACGTGATGCAATTTGTTTGATGACTGGCCACAACATTTTTCTTAGTTTAATTATAACAACGTAATATAGAAACTTGAGACTTGAGAGTTGACTCTAATATAATTCCACAATTCTTGGCCATGATCTATATCTTTATGTAGTTATAGAATGTGTCAATACTAGTTTCCCACTACTTTGTTTTGTTCATAATTTTGTGCAATCAATATGATACGAAGTTGTGATTCGAACCGATTTGTTCATTTCTTGCCTTGTATGTACAAAATGAAGATTTTGGGAGTTAATTACCACCTTCCCAATATTATTTTGGTGATGTTCAATTTCTGAAATCTAATTGTGAGTGCTGAAATCTGAAATGCATCAAATTGATGATGTATCCATAATCATTCGAGATAAAGAAATTTAGACGATATAATAGCTTGGGTGTCTCTAGGCAAAAAATACTTGCTCAAAATAAATATAAGCAGTAAATTTGTTGTTTTTTCAGTGTATGGTGTGTACTCCCTCTGGTCTTAGTCAATTTGCATAAAAATGTATCATTAATTACTTCCTTCTAATTTTACTTTTTTCACAACTTTCAATGAGTATAGAATAAAAGGTTATAGCAGAAGAGAGAAAATATTTTCAAATATAGTGCACTTCATGAGGATAAATTGGGAAATTATTTTTTTCTTTTTCAAACAACATCAATAAATTAACTATCTCTTTTTAATTTTGATAAGATAATTAGAAGTATTTTATAACATAGAGTTCGTGACTGTAATTAGAATTTATTATCTCAATGTCCTACACTCACTCCTACTTCATCCTATTGTTTCGTCAACAAAAAATTAAGACACATGTTGCCGGCTACTACTTTAAATTAACATGTAAACTAAAATGGGTCCTACATATTCGTGCCCAGCCCAAAATAGGTTGTATTATTCAAAAGTCATGAATAATGCATAATTCTACACTTTTTATATATTATTACATTTATAATAGTGATTTTTTAACGTTATTGTCATACTATGCTTAAACCAAGTTGGGCTTCAATCTATAAATATAAATATAATATAAAAAACTCTAATAAATCATACTTGCTCCATTAAAAAATGTACAATATTTTTAATCAAATTTTACTTTTTTTTATATTTATCTTTATTTACAAGGATATTTTACTTTAAAATAAATATAAAATGATTACACTTTGAAACACTTTTGAACCTCCAACCCTTCAAAAAAAAATACCTTATATTTTTTAATGGAGGAGTGACTTTTATAAGTTATGAATAAAAATGTAAATTGCTTCTCAGAAAAGAAGGGTAAATACCAGAAATTTGGTAGACAAAAAAAAAAAAAAAAACTGCAACATGGGCAGAAATATTGTGATCTTTTCTTTTATATGGTTATTTAACTGAGTTAAATTTAAACATTTTCGAGTCAAATTGGGGAATGTTTTCCGAGAGATAACTTTTGCATTTATATGACTTTAAACATGAGATCTCATGTTTAAACGATAATAATATAATTCTTTCAACCATGATCCATGCTTTTATCTTATGTTATCCTTATATACATCTGAGAATTTACGTGGGAACTCTATTTGGGCCTTCCAAACTTATGTCTGGATCAGCCCAATTCATATCAGGTCCAATAAGAATAAACTATTTCTTGTTAGTAAACCTGAATATTTAAAAGAATAAACTATTTCTTGTTAGTCTGCAAAATATTAAAAAAAAATCTGGTATCGAAAATAAAAGGGAAAATTACTAGATTATTCCTCCTCAAATTAAAAAATTAAAAACAATTTAAATTTAAATATAAAAAGTGAAAATATGGAGAGACTATAATCTTTCTTTTTACTTCTAAAATATATGCATGTGTGTGTGGTTTTTATTATTATAACAAAGGAAAAGAAAATTATTTATTTATTTTTCAATACAAAATATTTTCTTATTACGCATATGTTTCTTCTTATTAAAATTAATTTCGACCTAAAATCATCCTAATCCTAATCATCTTCATTCTTCGTCCGCCACTTCAGAAATTCCGAGGCCACAAATTCCCGATACTTCTTCGCACTCCTGGCTCCAGTCCTCGCCGTTCCGTCCCCGTTGCTGTCGTCGGCGTCGGTGTCCCCAGCTTCCGTGGCACTGCTTTTAGCCTTTCACCGTATTCTCCTGTTAGTACTCGTCTTCCATCCTTCAATCTATCACGTGAATCATCACTTCGGTAAATTTCTTTCTTTACATGCTTCTTCGCTCTCCCTTTAAATGAAGCTCTGTTTAATGTATAGGTGGGGGAAAATATCTGTTTTTGCTATTCTTGCTTGATCTGTCGCCAATGGGAGTGGAGGCGCCAAATACAGCACAGAATACTTCAGCTGCATTGACGGAGGAGAATATAGATGCCTTGCTTGAGGTAAGTTTCGTTGATCAGTTACTTTCTCTTAGCCTTGCTCACGCCTTCTTCATTGTTAGAAACTGAGAATTCCTTTTTCTTCATTGTTAAGTTCCCTTGTATTATGAAACAGGCTGATTCGTCAGCAATGAATGTAACAATCTGAACTTCTATTTGTTTAACAGGCTGCACGATATGATGATATGGATGATCTTGTGAGCCTAGCTTCTATTGGTGTTCCCCTTGATTCCAAGGATTTACAAGGAAGAACGGGTTGGTAACTTTTTCTGGGTAGTAGTTCCATTTGAACAATTTATTATACAATTGAAGCAAGTGTTGAGTACATTAAATTGAAAATGATGAACAAATGGAGTTTATGTCGCAATGGTAAATTTTAAAGGTTGCAACTGATGAGACGGCGAAGTTTTTATGGAAAATGTCCATGTCTTGGGAACAAGGAGAATTTTAGCATCACATGGGAAAAAAAGAAAATAACAGTTTTGGAGTACAATATACTAACAATTATTGAAAAGGAAAAAAAACAAACAAATAAAAACTGCTCACACTGGATGAACGTTTGCATGTGTTTCTGACTTTGCTTCCTTAACGTTTGAATTCAGCTCTTCACATGGCCGCTGCCAATGGACATCTTGACATTGTGGACTACTTAATCAGTAGAGGAGTGGTAAGAAATCTTTTTTCTTTACCCAAATATGTATTTTCTTCTTTTGAAAATTTTAACTTTAAATAGCTTATTTTTTAAATTTGAGAGAAGGCTTCTGGAGTACCTAATTTGTTTATCCTGTCAACATGTTGTCTTAGTGATCATTATCATGTTCACAGGACAATTCTATGATGTCACATTGTGTTTTACGTAGCATCATCATTGATGATTAAGAAACACCTATAGCTATAGCTATTAACTCATATTCCATGTGCACTTAGCCCTTTGATTATCTCTCAATGACTTGTGCTCGTTATTTTGGATAAAACATTTCATAGGATGTAAGGACTATGTTGTTGAAAAATTGTAAAGCTTGTGATATGAATAGAGCTCCAATTTCAAAGGCTGAAAACTGCATTTTTAATATTCTTTTTTATTTTAATTGATAGCATTGGGCATTATTCACATCACACCCTACTTATCCTAAGCGAGGTTACTTTAGTATGCAGTCCATGTAGACTCGTCTTTTAAAAGAACTCTATCCTGTTCATTTATCTATTCAGAGAATGTATTTGTTACTTATCTAAAGGTTACCTATTTGAACGTGTTTGGAACTTGGGCTGCAGAGTTTATGTGGATAAGTTGTCAATGTTGCTTGAAATATGATGCATATGACTAATTTGCAGTTGAGAACAATAACTATCGTTATTTCAGTGGGTAGTAGTAAAAACCTCATTTTCCTTGCCCCGTTGAAAACCAGATGTGCTCTAACCTATCATGTTTTAGTAGTTTGTGGATTTACTTAATGTTAGTGGTCCCTTTTGATCTGTATTGCTTCTGTAAGCTTGCCCAAAATAACAAAAAAATTTCAAGCAATGCACACAGTTTGAAAACTTCCTTTCTAATGGGTAGAAAAGTTGTTTGGAAGAGAAAAGGGGGACATGACCTAAAATTTACAAATTTAACATACGCATTAACACAACGGGGAAGTGGATGTTACTTTTGTAATATATATTGATTGATATTGATGCTTTAGGTTCTTACCGCCACTTAGATTCTTGCGCAATTATTTTTGAGCCTAGACGTCACCAATGTAGCAATTGGAAAGTAATCAGGCCTTGCATTTACAATTACACAACTGGGTCTTGTTTCATAAGGATTTGAGCAAAAGTCATTGAGTTTGAGTTGGGTTGACCAGTGATGGAGCAGCTGATTTGTTTCCTAGGAAACCCAATAGAAGTGTATCATGGTAGAATTTTTGCACTGCTTATACATCATTTCATGACTTACAAGTTAACCTCATGAAGTTGTGGCATCTTTTGCACTTATTTGTGACTTGCAAATAAACTTTTTAACGGCATATCTTTGGTTCCTTACATACCTGCTTATATTTATTTTATATTTGATTGCTTCCTTAAGATCCATTATATTTGGGCAAGGATCGTTATAATTGTAAGGGGTGGAATATGACATCTAAGGTTATGAAGCTCGTGTTATCAGGATGTTAATTCATCAAATGAAGAGAAGAATACACCACTTCATTGGGCTTGTCTCAATGGACATGTTGAGGTAGTTACTATCTTTACTTAGTAGAATATCCTTGTTGATTTCACTGTCCACAATTTTGTTAACAAGAAACATTCTACAGGTGGTGAAGAAATTGATACTGTCAGGAGCTAATGTTGGTGTTTTAAATGGGTATGTTACATTCCAGTTTGGGAGTCTGAAGGGTTTTAAATCGAGTTTAAATCATTGCACTGGCCTATTTGTGTAATGTCTATTATGCCCTTATAACCATTAATCAACATTAGTTATCTGCCCCCCATCCCGGCACCCAAAATAATAATAATAATAATAATAATAATAATAATAATTGAATAATCAAATTCATATTACTGTTCAGTTATGAGCGGACTCCCATGGATGAAGCAGTGAGTAGGGGAAAGCTACAAGTGATGGATGCTATAAACGAAGCAGTAACACAAGTTGAACTTACTGGAACCAGGGTTTCTGCATAAGAAACCTGTTAGTTTAATCTTTATTTTTCTTTTTGGACAACTGATCTTCAAGCGTTGTATTATTATTAGCTTATTTTGAAATATTTAATTCAATGATGTCTGTGTCTGTCTTTGATGTTTGCGCCCTTCATATATGTGCATAAAGCTTGCACCTGGGCTTCTTTAAAAAGGAATTATCTTTTTGCAAAAACAATGACAAAGAGAAAAGAAGAAGTAAGACCATAAACTGATTTCAGAAGCATGGATCATCAATTTTTTCTCTTATATATGGCTAATTCGAGGATTGTCAGAATTAATTAAGAGAAGTTTTCTGGAAGATATTTTTTTTTAACCTTCGCAGGTTTGAATTTGAAACCTTATACTTAAGTAACCATAATCCATTTCATTAGGATCTATTATTGTTGGTTGGATCATCATATGTTTAAAATCCGAAAAATGGGTGGTGTGAAGGTCAAAATTATGTTAGATATGATGGAAATTATCAAAACTATGGTGAACATGTAAAACCAAACTGGAGCAAACGCTTGTACAGTGAGTAATTGGGGCGAACAAAACCTCAAAAAAAAAAAGGTCAAGTCTGGTAGATCCGTTAAATTATTGAACGAAACATGTTTTTCAGATCAAAACTAGCATACAAACAGACGTTACGGAACTTTTGTCGTTCGTTTCTCAAATCAAACGTTCTCTGTTAACCTCAGTGGTGAGGTCAAAATTTCCCCTTTTCCTTTAATATTTTGTAAGATTTAGTTTTATTTTTTTTTAGTGCAAAAGAAAATATTTAGAAAAAATAGCATAAATAATCAGAATTTGTGGGCGGATGCATTATTTTTATGTCAAGATTATTTAAAGGTGGTCTCCCAACTTCATAAATCCTCTTTTAATGGTGGAAGAACAAAACTACACAAAGTGAAACAATTTTAGTGGAGGACAAGTAGAATCTCTGCTATATAAAAAAAATCCACTAAGAGGTATTGAGAATCAAATGTTAGCTTTTGGATGGCATGTGCATCAATTCTAAAATGCTAACTAATACTAGGTTTTAATCTAATGGTTTGATTAGAATCTCCCTAAAAGTTCCTTTTTGGTCACGTTAGTTTAATGATTGACTTTGTGTTTACCAGTATCCACACTTCTAAACATATGATATTGGTTTTGTAGGAAAAATTTCAAAACTCATTTTCCATTAGAGGACAGCAGAAGTTTCCAAGCCAAATCATTACCTAGATCTTGTTTTTGTTGATATTTGTTTAGATGTATTTGTTATTGTTTGGGTTAGCAATCCAGAACTTTTATTAATCAAATTAGTTTTTTTCCCCTTTCCTTCAAATAGACTTGAAAAAAATAATTGTGTTGAATTCCTCGGCAGCAAAAGAATATTGAGCTGGAAATACAAGAGCAAACAAACACTATGTTTTAGGAAAGGAGAAAGTCTATATACTTTAACTTATGTACTTAATGTGTATGTTTTTAATTAAAAATCAAGACATGTGAATCTTTTTTATATTCTTTATTCTGTAATAAATTATTGTTATTAATTTAATTAATACATTGGGATCCACTTGTCATAATTTAATTTGATATAAATATATTAACTATATAAAGTTATATATATAAGTCTTATCCTTTAGGAAAAAGAAGAGGGCATCAACTAAGAAGTTTAACATTAATATATATTAAAAGTCTAGAAAACCTTTTCACCAAAAAAAAAAAAGTCTAGAAAACCTTTAAATCTATCATAACAAAAAATAAAAGAATCCATCACTAAAGAAAATATACCATTGTATCAAAAAAGAAAAGAAAAGAAAATATACTATTTTGAACTGTAAGAGTTATTTAGTATTAAAATTGTAATATTTTGATTAACATGCACTTCATTCAACCGGTAGGAAGTTGTACCAAATTAATTAGAACTCTCAAATTTAATTTTTGATAATGCAATAGCATTTGGTGATAGAGCTTCCATTGGAAAAGATCCCAATCCAACTTGATCCAGACTAGCCAGAGCTCTGACTTCAAACACAACTTGATTTAATGTTAGAAAATAGTAAATATTTAAAAATATATAATAATTGATCCCTATAATTTTATTAAATTTTATTTTTAATCTCTATAATTTTTTAATATTTTTTGTCCTATAATTTTAAAAAGATTGAATGAATTTATTTTTTAAATTTCTATAATTTTTATTTATAATATTTTTAATCTCTATAAAAATTAAAAATATTAAAAAAATTATAGAGATAAAATTAAAAATTGATATAATTATAAAAATAAAAAGACAAGGTTTTTTTTAAATATTTTCGTTGGATAATAAGTGTTGACTTTTATAAAGAATAGGATTGGGAAGAGCCAAATTTCATTGAGATTAAAGGGCATCCAAAGCATGATGGGCCATCACATCACATGGGGCCCAACATTCTATACTCCAACAAACATATTTTTATTTTAAAAAAAAGAAATCTTGGGTGGGGGAGTGAAGGTTAGATAACCACTAAATTGAAATTGAACATGTTCTGCCATGTTAAGACTGAATAGAGTAATAGACCAAAGGACAAGAGCTAAGTCCTAAGATGATAACTAAGTGCATGAAAACGAAGTACTATAATCGTAACCAATCACAATGAGAGAGAGAGAGGAGGGAGGGAGGAGGGAGAAGAGAGAGAGGTAGGGTATGGGCGGATAGGGGAGGCTGTAGGGCAGTGACTCAGCCCAGGCTTTTTGGATATATTATGGATTTAGAGATAGGAAGAGGACCACTCTATAGGGAGAACCATAGCCCTCTCTCATTAATGCATTGCACGCAACACATCCTTGAAACGACATCACTTTATCTAAGCTCTCATCTCTTGGGCCCATTTCAGCCCACCACATGTCCTGCCTCCCAACACCCCACCCACTATTCCATTCATTTGTCGTACCACTATTATTGGTGCTAGTACAGGGGATTATGATCCTTTAAATATGAAATCTCTCTAATTCTAATCCATATGAAAGCAAAAAAAAAAAAATATCTCTTAGATGATTACTTACAATTAAATTTGATAATATTTAAATTTAATCTAATTAGATAACTATATCAATATATATATAATATACCTTTCTATCTCTCTTATAATTTTTTAAAAAAACAAATCTGATAAACAAAGGGCACGTTTGTTTAAAGTTAAAAATCAAGTAATTTTTAAGTAATTTAAAATTTTATAAAAAAAATTTATTTTATAGAGATTTTATAAAAAATAAACATCATTTTATGTTTAGCTATAATAATCAAAAAGTGATTATTATTAATTATTTTTAAATTTTATAATTTTTTTTGGCTTTTTTAAAAATATTTATTATTATTATATTTTAAAATTTTATAATATCCTCATGTATTCTGCCTCTTTAAACACTCATTGAATTACTTTTGGGAGCTATTCAAAGTGGCTTCTTAAAATAATTAAATATTTTTTAAATTTTAATTATCTTTAAAAGTTTAAACAACACATAATAAAACTCATAAAATGATATTTTAAAAAATAAATAATTTTTATTATAAAATAAACAAAAACAAAATAGCTCAGAATTAATTCTTTCATGAAAAGTGCTTTTAACGTGTAGTGCTTATTATTATTTATATTTAATAATGTTCATAAAAAATTACTTAATTAGACTTTTTTATTTTTATTCAATATTTTACAATTAAAATGTAGTTTCTTTATATATCAAGCTATACAAATAAAATATAATATTTATGAAAATAATTCAAATGAAAAGAGAATTTTTTTTAGAATTTCAAACTTTTTTTAATTTTTCTCTATCTATTTCACTGGACTAGTAGATTGTGCACGTTTTTTTAAATTATTTAATTTTTGACACATTTAACATGAATTTTTGTTTGTTGATTTGAAAAGAAAATAACAAACAACAAAGTCATTATACTTTAAGTGATAAATAATTTGATTACCTTACAAGTTTGATTCTGGATAAAATCTAAAATAATAAAAAAATATGTATATTTAATGTACATAATATGTATAGTTTTTTAAAAATTAATTATTTTTTTTATTTAAAAATATAAAATATTTTTAAACGAATCTCATCCCTTAATAAAATTATTAGTTACTTTTAAACTAATCCTATCTTTTTATATTTATCTCTATTAAACACTCTTTAATAAATATAAGTTATTATTAATAGGAGTATTTTTAAAAAATAATAATAATATATTTAAAAAATTAAAAATATTTATATTTTTTAATATTTAATTTTTAAAAATAATTTAATATTTAATTTTAAAAAAATGTTTTATATTTTAGATAAAAGGAGTATAACCTAAATCAACATCACAACCATAACTAATTTCAGAGTAAAACAGGCTCGGCTAGCTTTGGAGCCTTCGACAGAAAATGGCAGGAGGGGCGGCGGAGGGGAAGAGGGGGGGAGGGGGAGGACACGTGGAGGACTGGTGGAGGGAGTGTGATAGTGAGCGTTGGAGAAAAGTGAGCGCATGGTGGTGGGACCCACAAAAGGGTGTGGCTGGTCATGTTTGAAGGGCGAGGCATTGCCAATCCTCGTCATGTGCGCCGCTATTCCCATCAACTCCTAGCTGCCCCCCACTCTCCTCATTTAATATCTCTCTCTCTCTCTGTTTTTTTCTTTTTCTTTTCTATATTATTTTAAATTTTAGAGAAAAAACTAAAAAGGCACGCACTTGGATGTAAAGTGCCAAATAGTACTCTACTATCTATGTACCCACTCAAGCCAACCAAAAAAATTGGACTCTTCTAATTCTCATTACATATATATAAAAAAAGTTAATTCACTTAATAATTCTTAAAAAATATTAATTAATAGTTAATATTTGAAATTTGTAAAAAATTTATTTTAATTTACCTTTCATTGAAATTAATGAATAAAGTAAATTGTGCTTGCCAATTAAAAGTTTGTCAATATCTCGGCACAATTAAAGGGGAATAAAATTAAAAAAAAAGAAAAGACAATTATCAAAGTCTATAATTTTATTAAATTTTATTTTTTAGTTCCTACAGTTTTTTCATTTTTATTTCAATTCTTATAATTTTAAAAATATAGGTTATCTTTTTTTTTAGTTCTGT